AGCTGCTTGTACATAGTGACTGACTTCAGCTCCGCAGGCCCTCGACCTGCTCCTTTACTTGGACAACAGTTTTCACTCCTTACAGGTTCTTCAATTATTTTGATCTGTCTCTTTCTCTGCATAATTTCTTTGGTGCTTCCTTCCCATATTGTTGTTATTATTGTATTTGTTGCCATTTGCAGAATTTTCTCTAATTTTTCTCCATAAGGTTATCCACTTTCTATGTGTCTTCTACTTTCTCCTTTTCTGTTTCTTTGGGTTTTATCTTATGCTCCTAGATGCTGGTAAAATATCCCTTATTTTATGTACTTTCCTCATTCTCAAAGTTCTTTTCTCTCAAGTTGGAAAAGATCTTCTGTTTACACAAGGGCTATAGCACCACAGGTCCTAGTGCCATCCCAAGAGTCTCCCGCGTGACTTTCTCAATTGCAAGACTTCAGTCTTTCACAAAACATGTCTGTGCTCCAGATCCTTCTGGAATTAGGCTGAAAACATTCTCCCCTGCTTCAGTTGCCATAATCTGCTGTTATGTAGGTTTAATGTGTGTTTAATAACATCACCCAGGCACTTCTCCTCTGGCGCCCAGGCCTACCTCTGGTATATTCATTCTTCCTATGTGCCCCATGCAGAAATATGGTCCCCACTCAGGGGCTCAGCTCACCTTGATCCTTTGTCTCTCTCACAGTTTTCAAAAAGGCACAACAGAAAGTTGATATAATTCCATCTGTATGTATGCAAATGTGAAGAAGGGAAAGGTAGGATGGGAGAAAGGGAAACTTTTTTTCCATGCCAACTAGAAAACAAAGATGTACTGAAAAATTTAAAAACTTAAATCAGAATTACCTTCTCCTTCATCTGGTAGACAGGGCCCCTTCTCTGGTTCTCCTTCATTAGTGATTTGCGGAGTTTTTAGATCAAAGGTCTCTGCAGAGAAACAATAAATTGACAGACCACAGAGGGTGATGTGGACACAGACCTCAGTGCGTTCACGCCATCCAAGATGGGCAAACGCTGACAGCCACCCTCGTCTTGTTCCGCCTTTTCTCCATCTTGTTGCATCTCCTCTTTCTCCTTCTCTCTAATTCTCAGTGTCCTCCTCACAATTCTGCCTCCACACAATTCCCTCCTAGCTGGGCAGCACTTGGATTGTCTGGTCTTCTCTCCAACTGGCTTCTCCTGCTTCCTGTTTCTATGTCTTTTTTCTTTTTCAGTAATACTGTATCCCTTTTCTGTTATTTCTTTAGCTCTTATTCTATATCCATCCTATGCCAAAGGGCAGACTCTATTTCCATGCTGTGTTTCCATGGTTTCCCTTCCCTCCCACTAGCATTTTTTTTTCCCTTAAAGCCTTATATTGGTCCCTGGTCCACTCCTCCGGGAATCTACAGAACTCCTTGGGCTTCTTTCTATTCTGACCCTGTGACCCTGCCCTGAACCCCCAGCTGGCTTTGCACAGCCATCACCCAGTGACACATTCAGGACACTGGTGCCCACTCTTCCTTTCCTACTTTGCCTTTGCGATAATATCCTGCTTGCATTTCTGTGCTTTATTTCCCAGTCTGTAAGATAGACGTTTAGCTGTTTGCATACCGATGTTTAAGAGTTTGTGGGGGTAAAAGGAGCTCTTGTGCAATCCAGTCATCTGATAAAGACTGTCAGAAACCTTGTGCACCTGCTCTCCCACCCCCTGTTGGCACTCTCATTTTCACCCTTGACGCACGTCTCTGCTGCTTGTGTTTCTACCTCTGTCTCTTGCCGCTGGACTCTCTTGGTACTTTTCCTTGTCTTGGTTTCTTTTTCCGGGACTGTTCCTGCCTTCCTCGTCTCCCTCTTTCTTCCCTGGTGCTGTGCTGTATGTCCTTGCTGCATCTGTCATCCTGTTGCTTTCTAGAACTAGGGATCAAAAAAGGCATATCTGAGAGTGTCTGTAATTACCATATGATTTCACTAGATTAGTGAGCATGATGGAGATTGTAGTGAAACAAGATGACTTTTCCAAGCACAGGGCTAAGCCTTTAGGAAGGCTCAGATGAGAAAAAGTCATCAGAAAATGACAGTGACTAGAAAATCTGTATATAAACCTTGAAGTAATTGCAGGAGAGGCAGACATGAAGCTGGAGCCCTGGGGAAAAAATAGATTTAATCCTTATGGCCCCAAGTAGTTATTGATTTAAAGTAGAAATGTAAGATAAGCCAACTTACATTTTTGAAAGAGTTGTTTGAGTTGGAAAGAATGGATGTGAGAAGTACAAGATCAGAGGAAAGATGTGAGTCTAGAGGCTGTTGCTCCAGTCCAAGAGAGAGAGCTTACCAGAGTTTTTGTGTTGGGGTGGAAGGAAATGGACAGGTGAGGTATGTAGAACTCACTAAAAGTCTACTGGATGTTGATGGGGTGCTTAAGTTGAGGGAGGTGGGGAGAGTCATGAGTGGCTCCTAGGTGTCTGCTTGAAGAATGGAGTAATAGTGTTTCATCCTGAGATAGGGAACACTGGGAGAGAAGTCAGATCTGTGTCAGGAAAGATGGTATGTACAATCTTGGAGGTGTCTTGTATTGAGGTTCTTGAAAAACATCCAAATGAAGAGGTCTTTCAAATATCTTCGTGAACGTATTCAGGTACTCAGATGAATGAACTTAGAAGATAAATCTGGACATATGTGTTTTGAAATCATTAAGTTATAGATGGGAGAAACATGAAAGCCTCAGGGAGAGGCTGACTGCTTCTGAGGACATTACAGGTGCCATTTTGATAGCTTGGGAACACCCTCGTGAAAACTCACTGCTAACATGTCTCATTCTTGGGCCAGAAATTATTTCTGTCTAGTGAATCTTCTCTCCATCCCTACAATGTCCCACATTGTTCCCCATCTCTTGCAAGCAGTTTTCACTCTCTGCTAACTTTTCACTTATTCTCCTTTCTCTTTTTCTCTGTGTATAACTTTTATGCCTCTCCTCCACTGTCTCTGTCTTCAAGCATTTTTCTTCTCTCTGTTCCTCTCATAATATTTTCTCCACCTTTTAAGTCCTGTGCCTTATTTAATAATCAAGTTTACCTCCTTTCTTCCATGGTGCTCATTTCCATGCCTATATCTGTTCTCTCTAATTAGCTTTCTGTTCCTAATTTTTCAATTTCAATTTAATTTTAATTTAAATTTCAGTCTTTCTGTATATTCTGTCTTATTTTTCTCCCATACCATCAAAGGTCTCATCTTTTGCCATTAACAAAGGGGCAGGGATTCTTCCCTTTGTGAAGCTCATTTCAACAGTTTTTCACTGAGTTTTCTATATTGCAATATACTCATTATATCCATGCTCTTGGCATAACCTTGAGAAAATAAGTTGAAAATTATCTCCCCTTCCTTATAACCCAATGTGGTATTATTACCCAAATATTGCCCAACATGGTAATATTTGAATCCCATGACTATTTAGGTAAAACTGGCAGTCACTCAGATCTCTCTTTATTTAATGATTCAATCTATATTTTCCTTTCCCTCTCTCTTTCCCTATGTCCTATATGCAGGAAAGCCCCAACCAGTCTGAGATCATCCTTCTTTTGCTACTTGTCTCTCTCAAGGAAAGCAGGAAGAAGCTGGGCATAGACTGTCTGTGTCTGTATGTGGGGAGGGATGCATGGATGAATGGATGGATGGCTGGCTGGCTGGCTGGATGAATATATGAATAGATGGATGGATATATGGATGAATACATGAATAGATGGAGGAATGGGAAGGGAGATGAAAGAGTAGGTGTTTTTGTATGTTGACAGAATAACAGAGCTTTAATTTAAATCCTAATTACCTTCCGTATCATAAGGCAATAATGTGGGCATTTCATCTGATTCTCCTTCATCTGTTTGTATAGCAAGTTCACAGGACACTGCGGAGTGAAAGAGGAACATGACAGACAATTGACAGTGACCTGGACACCTACCTGGATCCATGCTGAGCTCTAATGTTCAGGTGTAGAACTGCTCCCTGGGGATAAAGGTATCTTTGTACCAAACAAGAATGGCTCCACTTCTTCTAGCACCTTGTCGGGCCCCTTTCCCCTCTCTCCCTCTCTCTTCTTCTCTTTTTTCTCCCTCTAACCCTTTCTTTACACATTGCTGTGTCTGCACCATAAACCAACTCCAAGATCTCTTTGACTTGACTTCCTCTTCCTGACTTCTACCATTTCTTTGCATTTCTGTCTCTTTCTTCCTTCGTGATGTTTGTTACCTCTTTGCCCCATTATATCCCTATTCATTCTTCTAACTTTGTCACTTCCACTTTGTCTCTTCTGTATACAGTATTTCATTATTCCCAAATAATCCTTGGCAAGTAAGTTTAAAATTCTCTCTCTTTTCTCAAACCCCATCCTGGTAGTATTTAGATTCCATATTCATGTAGATAAAATTGGGCCCACTTAGGCAATACCATTTGGTGCCTCCAATCAGAGTAATTTTTATTACTCTGTACACTTAAGTTCTCTGCCCAGGAGCCCCTCCACTAAAGGACTTAGCCGTCTTTTACCTCCTGCCTCCCACACACCTGGGGAAAACAACCACAGGCTGAACGAAAGTGTGTTACAGGGGTGGTGGTGGAGAGAGAAGGATGTGTTGCTTGCCTAGAGATAGGCCAACTAATTTAATGAGATAATTGGTCATTTAAATCATAATTACCTCCCCCACCTGGTAGTAGACTGGGTGCATCTTCTGCGTCTCCTCCATCAGCATTTGGGAGGGCTAATTGCTCACAAGACTCTGAAGAGAAACCTGGAAATAAATAACAAGGCACAGTGATGAGAGCACAGACCTCAGGATGTTCCTGCTGAATCCTGGTGTTCAACACTCAAGTGAGCTTCTCTTTGCAAAAAAAGCACCATTGCTCCAAGGACCTCGCCTGAGCCCCACCACAGCCTTGCTCTGCCTGTTTTCCTTCTGGTCATCTCTCTGCCACCTCCTTTCTCCTTCTCATTTTTTGGTCGCCACATGCTCTTGCTTCTACACCATGAAGCACTGACCATCTCCTTGACTCCCTGGGATTTCCTCTCTTTTTCTTTTCTGTTGATCTTCAATGCCCTCCATCACATTTTCCTACTTGTGTCTCCATTTTTCTTTCTGGTTCTCTTCTTCTGGATTTCTTGCATCTGCATGGCAGGTTCCAATCTTACCATTTCTCTTTGCTTTCCCCTGCTCTGGCCATGGAAATGCTTTTGTTGAATAAGAGTCTCTTTGCACCAGGCCCTAGCCCACTCCCCTAAGAACCTGCAGGTCTCCTTGGGTCTCCTGTGTGAACTCCGATCCATGACCCTGGCTACCCTGATTTCTGTCAAACTCACACAACCATCACTGCAGTGAGTCAGCTGGAATGTGGGTCATGTTCTTGCTTGACTAATTTGACCTGGTAAAAGACCTTACACCTTTCTATGCTTCTACTTCTTCTTTATTTAGCTATAAAATAGAAATAAGCAAAAGTTTATCCATCTAAATTCATAAGCTGTGGTGATAAAATGACATCTTGTTTGCCAAAATTCTTTGAACAATAACTATGTAAGATAGTAACACAATGGAAAATATTTAGCAAAAATTATCATTTAGTTTTTTGAGTAGTTGGTCTGATGGAACATGTTTCTTATGAAGGCTTTCTATAGTGAGGGACAAAATAATAATAGTAACAAACAACAATAGTTTTTATTCTCTAGAGAAAATAAATGGTGGGTAGGTATAATCAAGTTTTTATTGTTAGTAGACATGAAAGACATCATCCTTCTCTAGCATATTTCTACTATAACATACACTTAGGAACATTTAGCAGAATTATGGGATCTGAGGACAAAATGGATCTTTTGCCTGTGGAATGTGCTCAGAGTAAAATGCATCAGGGAACACCAGCTCTGAATTCCACCTCCTGACACCCTGAAGGTCAGGAAGAGCAAGTCACCCCTTCCTTACCTGGCTCACACCTTGGCGAGGAGCTCAAGGCTTCCTGAGGCACTGCTACATCACCCATTTCATGATCGGCATTGCTGTTCTCTGCAGAAAGGAATGAAATCCCTCAGATGTCTTGATTTACGGTCAAGAAGGCATCAAAACAAGAAAATAAATAATGAGAAAACTAAGAAAGCCTGATACACTGGAAGGTCCCCACTCCCCAAACAACCTGACCTGAGGATTAAGTCCTTCAGTAACCTTCACCAGAGGCTGAGAATAATTCATCCATTGCGGGGGAATCTTCCTTTCCTTACGCCTTCTTCTCTTTCACATTTTCTCACTCATGTCTTTCCATCTGTTTCTGTACATTTCCTCAATCTCTGCCTCTGTTTTTTTCTGCGGATGTTTCTTGGAGCCTCTCTTTCCTAGATGCATTTCTCTCTTCTCTGCTCCTGCAAATTTTTCTTTTGCTTTCTCTGATACCACTCTTTCTCTCCCATCCTTAGCCTCTCAATTGTGCCTTTCTAGCTTTCTCTAAAGAAAGACCTCCCTTTGATCATATATTCTAAGTAGGATTTAGCTGGATTGGAGAAGGATAAATGGAGAATAGTGGGACAGGAAAACAATTCTAAATAAGGTAGCAAAGAGAAAACATAGGGAAAGGCTCAGTTTGAAAGAAAGATTTAACAATTGAAATTATTGGGGGAAATTTTATTCTACCTTGAAATAATACTTCAGGAGGCAGGTGATTAAGCTGGAGAAGTAAGCAGGTGGATCATTGTGGATGCCTTTGGATTTTACTTAAAAACCCATTTATTTAATCCTTAGTGTATTAAGGAGGTAAGTAGGAAAATGATACAACCTAAGGTGCATTTTAAAATATCCCATCTAGTTGAAGTGCAAATAACACATTTGATGGAAGCAAGATTAGAGGGAGGAGATGAGCAAAGGATGTTGCCCTGAGAATCATGAGAGTGATGGAGATCTGGACCAGAGACCTGGTCTTGGGGATGCAAAGATGGACAGGCCAGAGGCAACCTGAAGATGAAATGGTTACATTGGCTGCATAACTGGCATGTATTTGAGGGCAAGGGAGGAGTCATCCATGATGACTTGACTAGGTTTCCAACTTGAAAAACCATGGGACAATAGTGATCCATCTCTGGGAGAAAGAGTGCTGTGGAGGAGTTAGATCTAACTTGAGCAATGAAGATGTTGCTTTTAGTTCTTAAAGTACCAAGTTTAAGGTTCTTGAAAAAATTCAAGTGTAGATGTCTGTCCGACCCATGAGTAAAGGTCCTTGGGTCCATGAATAAATGTACTCTAAAGATAATTTAGAGTGAAGATTTGTGCTTGGGAATCATTAGACTATTCTGGGAGAGGCCTATTGAAATCTGAGTATGATGTAAGTGCCACTTTGATGTGGGAAGAGTTCAATCTGAAAACTTATGGTTCATGGAGCCAACCCTTGTAAAGTTGCTGATATCCAGTGCTCTTACCTCAAACCTACACTGTCCCAGTCTGCTTCTCTCTCCCTTTTATCCACTTTTCACTCTCAAGTGATTTTACACCCTTTTTTTCTTAACTGTTTATCTACATAGTTGCCTCTGTACCTCTTCATTTTCCCCATTTCTTGGTATTTATTTTCCTCTCATCTTTCTTTTTCCATATACTTCTCTCTCCATTTTCACCTCTGATCCTTGGCAGATGTTTCAGTTTACGTTTTCTCTGCTGTGTCTTATACTTCCTCTCTTTCCATTTCTGTTTCTCTCATTTCACTTTGATCTTCTATCTGCCAACATTATTTCAGTTTTGTCTCCCTGCTCAATTCTATCTTTCAGGCTCGCCTGTCTCTCCATATCAAAAACTCCCCTCTTGGACTGTGACCACAGTGCTAGGGACCTCTAACTGGCCAACTCTGTAAGGAACATCTCTCACCTGAATCTGATATGGCTTAGGTTATTTCTGAGTTTCTCTTAATAGTTCTATGAAATTAATTAAAAATAATCCCCTTATCTCAACCTGGGAGGGTAGGGAGGGTAGGATTTTTATGTTCCCTTAGAAGATGGAATCCATTCATGTAATTTGTCATGTATTATTCTCTGTCTACCTTTCCCATTTTCTCTTTTTATATCCTCCACCAATGGAGACTCCATCTATTCAAGAGATCAGATCTCCTTTTTCATTGGTTCTCTCACACCTGCTGGCAGATAAGGGCAGGTACATGCCTGTGTGAGGGGAAGAGTACTGGGAGATAACAGGGGGCTAAGATAGGAGAGAAAATACAAGCTTTGCCTCCATGAAGACAAGGAAGCAAAACTTTAATAAGGGCATTGATCAGTTAAATGATAGTTACCTTGTTTACCATATGGTAGTAATCTGGGTCTGTCTTCTAACTCGTTTACATTATTCATTTGGAGAGGTGGGTGTTCATAGCATACTGAGGAAAACAATGTGAAAATTACCAAACTCAGACAGCAACCAGAGGAGAGACCTCAGTGTGCTTAAGCTGAATTTGATGTCCAAGCCCCAGGATCTCCTGCCCCCAAGGTCCAACAGAGCCTTGTTCCCCTTTTTTTAATTGAGATGCACATATCTTAAGTGTAAATCATTGTGAAACCAACATCCCAGTCAAGATTCAGAACATTTCCACCATCCCAGAAAATTGCTTTGTGCTTAAGACACCACTGTTCTGGTTCCTATCACCAGCAATGGCTCCTTCCTTTCTGGCACTATACTTGTCTGTATTGTCTGTACTTGTACTCATATAAATAGGATCATGCAGTATGTACTCTTAGAACTTGCTTATTTTGCTCAATATAATGTTTTTGAGATTTATCCATGTTGCTCTGTGTGATAACAGTTCATTCTTTTTATTGCTGAATAGTATTATACTCTATAAATTAGTCATAGTTCATCTACTCTCCTGTTGATGAGCATTTGGGTTGGTTCCAGATTTTAGTTATTATGAATAAAGCTGCCATAAACATTCTTATACAAATCTTCGGATGAACATATTTTTATTTCTGTCATGTAAATACCTAGGAGTGAAATGGCCAAGATCATAGGTTAGATTTAACTTTACAGGAAATTGCCAGGCACTTTCCCAAAGTGGTCGCTATCATTTTACATTCCTACCAGCAAGGGATGGGCGGTCCAATTGTTCCACATTCTCATCTGCGCTTGGTATTGTCAGTCTTTTTAATTTTAGCAATTCTAGTGAGTGGATGATATCTCACTGTGACTTTAATTTGCATTTCCCTCATGATTAATAATGTCATACACTTTATGTTCTTGCTGGACATTTTGTATCTCCTGTTCTGAAATGTCTGTTCAAATCATTTGTCCATTTTTTGAATTGGTGATGTGTCCTTTTATCATTCATTTATTGGAGTTATTCATATTTTGTGAGTACAATCCTTTGTTAGATATGTGTATTGCAAATATTTTCTCCCAGTCTATGGCTTGTTTTTTCCTTTTCTTAATGGTGACTTTGGATGCGTAGTTTTTAATTTGGTGACACATAACTTACCAAGTTTTTCTTTTATGATCCATGGTTTTTTGTGTCCTTTATAGCAAATTACTGCCTACTCTCAGTTTGCAAAGACACAGTCTCATGTTTTCTTCTAGAAGCTTTATACTTGTAGTGTTAACTTGTAGATTTGTAATCCAACTTGAATTATATTTTGTGGATGTTGTGTAGTATAAGCAGAGGTTTATTTTTCTTTTTTTTTTTTCAATCTTTTTACAATTCATTCTACTTTTGCCCATTTCTCCAATTTCTACTCATAGTCTGAGGCAGTGGGCAGTGGTGGGCCTCAGGTGCCTGTCACCTGGAAGGTGCCAGATACTAACATATGAGATGTGGATACTGGGGCCAGGGGGATCCCCACAGTCCACAGAGAGAATCAGAGCCCCTGAGATGTGGGCAGTAGAAGTAACATCATTCCCTTCATTGCCACAGCCTGGAACACCCTGGTTAAAATACAAATATTGACTCAAAATTTGTGCCTAGGTACAGTTGGCTTGGGATCCGTGGATTCACCCAACCTCAGATTGAAAATATGGGAAAAAATTAAAAATAATAAAAGGCCAGGCATGGTGGCTCATGTCTATAATCCCAGCATTTGGGGAAGCCAAGGCAGGCAGATCACCTGAGGTCAGGGGTTCAAGACCAGCCTTGCCAACATGGTGAAACCCTGTCCCTACCAAAAATACAAAAAAATTAGCCAGGTGTGGTGGTGGGTGACTGTAATCCCAGCTACTCAGAAGGCTGAGGCAGGAAAATCACTTGAACCCAGGAGATGGGGGTTGCAGTAGCCAAGATCACGCCACTGCACTCCAGCCTGGGTGATAGAGTGAACTCTGTCTCAAAAAATAAGTAAATAAAATAACAATACAAATTTAACAACTATTTACATAGCATTTAGATTGTATTAGGTATTGTAATCTAGAGATGATTTAAAGTATACTGGTGCATGTGCATAGGTTATACACAAATACTATGCCATTTCATACAAGGGACTTGAGCATCCAGGACTGAGGGTGGTGGGTATTCCTGAAACCAATCCCTCATGGATACCAAAGGAGGCATGCACAGTATTTGATTTCCTCTAGACCTTTCTCTGACTTGGATGTACCATAATATGAAAACGAGATACCTCTTTTTTGAATGAAGGTATAGTATTCACAAATCAACACATCCCATTCTTCATACTGACTTATTTTACTTTTCCCCTGTTTAAATGCCCGTTATTGCTTCTTTATTTTCCAAAAACTAAACTCCAGATTCCCTAGCACAGGGTGTCAAGCCCTCCAGAATCCACTCTAAGTTCTTTCTCCAGAATCGGCTCCCAAACCCTCCCTCCCACACTCTGCAATTCAACCACATGGTTCTGAAAGGCCCCCACCAACCCCCTTTTCTGTCTTCATAGCTTTCATATGCAGCTCCTCCTCAGTGTATCAGTATGTACTGGGCTCTCTTCGTGACTTCTCCAGTCTTCGTTTGGAGAAACAAGTTGACACAGGACTGCACTGAATGATAAATTTTCTAATACAAAGAAAATTGTTTTATCTTTGAATGTATCTGCAAATATCAGAGAAGGTTTCCTCCTTTCCAATGAAAAGGCTTCACTCATGTCTTCCTTGAAAAAAATGGAGACTTCAACCCTATGTTTTACAGCATCAAAATCAAGTCCTGGCTGAGCAACCATTTGCAAGATTACTTGGTTAACATCTATCACTCCCACTATATGTAAACTCCATAAGGACATGGAACATGTGTGTTTTTTCATCATTATATTCCCCCTGGGCTTGGCATGTAATAGTCACTCAGTCAAACATTTGTCAAATATGAATGAAGAGTGAATGAATGAATTAATGAATGAAATGGGCTTGAATCCCCCAAAGCTGTTGAGAGCTATAGTTACCATTTTGGAAGCTTCTGTAAATCTCGTTTAAATCAGGATAGGCCATCAGGTTAATCCTGCTGAACAATGCTTCCAGATGTGACCAGCCAAACGTCTTCTCCAGTTCACTGAGTACACAATACATCACTCTTGTCACTGGGACCAGGTTTCTAAAAGCTTCTTGAAAATGCTTAAAAATATTAAATGGAGAATTATGTAGTTAGAGATTTATGGGTTCCAAAAGACTCTTAGGTGGTAGATAGAACATCTGTTCTCTTGTGAAATGCTAGAATTTTGCATATATTTGGATGACTTCTTAAATGTCCTCCACCATAAAAATACAGTCTTAATTTTTTGAACCTGACTCTCTGACATTGTTGTACACTTAAGAGGAGAGAGTTATTTTAAATAATAAATGTGGGTTCAAAGTTGAATGTTATGTGTGGCTTTAGAGCCTGGCCAGGTTATTTCAGGAGTGGCCTTAACAAGGCTGTTCTGTTATGTGGATGATAACCACTACTAGGATTGGCCTGGCCTGACAGAGCTCCAGGAAACCAATCAACCAGCCCCCTACTGTGACTCCTGATCAAAGGGCACAGAAAATTCACAAAGACAAGAAGAAGGCTTGTCCTCAGTATCCCTAAAGGCATCCACTGCTAACATTAACTTGCATTCTAGGACTCTAGAAATGTCCAAAGATCAAACAATGATTTGGAGAGACAGTAGCAAGCATCTGCTTCCAAATGTAAAATAACATGACACAACTTCCCTGTGAGTTTCAAAAAAATCTCTGTTTCAAGTGTTTCAATAAGTAGGCTTTGGAATGAAACGCTGTCTAGCTCACTTATTTACTTTAATTATGGCTACCATTAGTAGATTGCATACATGCATCTAGGATGATCTGCACCCATGCAGCATTCCCATTCTCTCTGCTGCCCACCTCCCTCACTGTGGCCCTCCCCCAACATTTACTACAGAAGAAGGGAGGTTTTCTGTGATGCCTGCTTCTCCTGTCACCTCCTAACCTACAGGATGATGAAGGTCCCCATTCACAGGAGGCCCTTTAGCCTGTTCATTGCATCTTGAAGTTTGGCATAATTGAGTATGGACCTGGTTTACCATCATTTGGAAATTCTTACTTACTTCATACATCTGCTCAGAGATGAAGGAGCGGTCTCGGAGGCCCATAAGGAAAGGAAATGGTCTTGTTATTGCACTTGCAATCTCTACCTTGTGTTCTCTGAAGAACCTGAAAATGGGCTCAGGGCAAACCTGCTCCTGCAGGTTCTGATCCTCTGTGTTCTGTATATCTGTGACCATTCTAAGAAACAAAGATACAACGTGGAAATAGATACTGAGTTTCCAAGAGGTTTGTGGTGGCTAGAAGATTTTAGACATGAAGGATGGCCAATGGAGAGCCAACATGTGTAAAATAGGCTTTCTTGTGGGGAAATCAGAATGAATGAAATTTATTTATTTTGGGAAAAATCAAGGTGGAAAAGATGAAAACAGTGAACTTATTAAAGACTTAAATGTTAGATCTAAAACCATAAAAATCCTAGAAGAAAACCTAAGCAATACCATTCAGGACACATGGGCAAGGACTTCATGTCTAAAACACCAAAAGCAATGGCAACAAAAGCCAAAATTGACATATGGGATCTAATTAATCTAAAGAGCTTCTGCACAGCAAAAGAAACTACCATCAGAGTGAACAGGCAACCTACAGAATGGGAGAACATTTTTGCAATCTACTCATCTGACAAAGGGCTAATATCCAGAACCTACAAAGAACTCAAACAAATTTACAAGAAAAAAGCAAACAATCCCATCAAAAAGTGGGCAAAGGATATGAACAGACACTTCTCAAAATAAGGCATTTATGCAGTCAACAGACACATGAAAAAATGCTCATCATCACTGACCATCAGAGAAATACAAATCAAAACCACAATGAGATACCATTTCATACCAGTTAGAATGACGATCATTAAAAAGTCAGGAAACAACAGGTGCTGGAGAGGATGTGGAGAAACAGGAACACTTTTACACTGTTGGTGGGACTGTAAACTAGTTCAACCATTGTGGAAGACAGTGTGGCGATTCCTCAAGGATCTAGAACTAGAAATACCATTTGACCCAGCCATCACATTACTGGGTATATACCCAAATAATTATAAATCATGCTGCTATAAAGATACATGTACACATGTGTTTATTGCAGCACTATTCACAATAGCAAAGACTTGGAACCAACCCAAATGTCCATCAATGACAGACTGGATTAAGAAAATGTGGCACATATACACCATGGAATACTATGCAGCCATAAAAATGGATGAGTTCATGTCCTTTGTGGGGACATGGATACAGCTGGAAACCATCATTCTCAGCAAACTATTGCAGGGACAGAAAACCAAACACTGCATGTTCTCACTCATAGGTGGGAATTGAGCAATGAGAACACTTGGACACAGGAAGGGGAACATCACACGCCGGGGCCTGTTGTAGGGTGGGAGGAGGGGGGAGGGTTAGCATTAGGAGATTTACCTAATGTAAATGACGAGTTAATGGGTGCAGCACACCAACATGGCACATGTATACATATGTAATAAACCTGCATGTTGTGCACATGTACCCTAGAACTTAAAGTATAATTAAAAAAAAAAAAAAAGACCTGTGCATAGAAGTAAAAAGGCTCGCCCTGTTCCAATCAAACTATTATAAAGAGACCTTCACCTGAACTCTCTAGGGAAAATACACAATTAAAAGATGTCAAAATCTTTATAGGAATTGACATGATGCTGTGGTAATTAATTTTATATGTCAATTTGGACGGTTTTTTTTGAAAAGATTAACATTTAAATTAGTGAATTTGGAGTAGGGCAGATTGCCTTCCATCGTGTGGGTGGGGCTTGTCCAACCAATTGAAAGCCTGAATAGAACCAAAAGACCAGTGTCCCCAAGAAAGTAAGAATCCTCTAGTAGACTGCATTCAGACTGGAGCTGCACCATCAGCTCTCCTGGGTCTCCAACCAGCAGGCCCACACTACAGATTTTGGACTTGTCAGCCTTCATAACTGCAAGAGTCAATTCCTTATAACAAATCTCTTTCTCTCTATATATACATCCTATTGGTTCTGTTTCTCTGGAGAACTTTAACTTACAGAGAAAGAAATAAAAATCTGGCTGAGATATTACAGAACTCAACACTGAACTGCAAGTCTTCTTAGTTAACAACAAAGAGAGGAAATCTCAGGAGTCATAAAGGAGATGTATCTCCTCCATCTGTAACTGTAGAGGGAGGGTGGTATTCTCCATCACAAAATTGGTTCAAAGACTCTCATCTGGTAAGGTTTGATTAAGAATAGTCACAATAAGGCTGGGCGCGTAGCTCACGCCTGTAATTCCAGCACTTTGGGAGGCCGAGGCAGGCGGATCATGAGGTCAGGAGATGGAGACCATCCTGGCTAACACGGTGAAACCCCATCTCTACTAAAAATACAAAAAATTAGCCGGGCGAGGTGGCGGGCGCCTGTAATCCCAGCTACTCGGGAGGCTGAGCCAGGAGACTGGTGTGAACTCAGGAGGCGGAGCTTGCAGTGAGCCGAGATCGCCCACTGCACTCCAGTCTGGGCGACACAGTGAGACTCCGTCTCAAAAAAAAAAAAAAAAAGAATAGTCACAAGAAAATGACTCTTTCTATGGTCCAACATGGAGATTTGTGTGAATATGCAAAACTAGGACACACTGATCTGTCTACACTTGGAGACCTCTGGATTTCAGACATTAAGGCTGTGCCTGGGAAACTAATTTTTACTCACAAAAGTTTGTAGTTCTGATTCTTACTTGCTAAATTGTTCTCCTTGCTAATAGGCCTTAACATATTTATCTGTATTTTTAAACGGTATGAAGACTTACAGATTTTTTTTTTATCCCACAATGAAAGAGTCATTGGGACTTTCCATTCCTCAAACATGCATCAGGATAGAATAGAGGATCACTAAGATTTCCCATTCCCCAAACATGCACCATTTATCCGCCGAATTCTGTTAAAAAAGAAAAAGACTTCTGGCTTAAAATGGTTGATTAATGACAACTGTTTTTCTCCTCTCTCACTAGAATGTCTCCTAAAATGATAGGAAAGGAATTAAAGTCACAATGATGAAGAGAAAGGAATTAGATGAGAAATGTTAACCTAAATATGACAGAGAAAAAACGGTCAGAGGGGTACTCATTGCTATTGAAGGTAGAGGATGGTTCCTGAGGTCAGAAAAGGATCCAGCATGTCCTGCAGCCTCCCAGAGATGCAGTGGTGGCTGAGAAGGAGATGCAGAGATGAAAATCAAGAGATTGTTCCAGAGGCGAAATTAAAAACGGTTTGCTCTATGACACAGAACACCCACAATCAGGCAGAAGAGTGGAGGTTTCTTCTTAAGAAAAATATAAATGACTCAGAGAGAAGGACTTCAGGCATTTGGTATTTGCTCAGTGAAGCCCACAAACTTACAAGCCCATCTCATTAAATGGAGTTTCAAGTTTGCTTTTCAGCATCTTGCTGGTAAGCATGAACAGACTACAACAGACCACAGCATGTGTGGAAACCTACAACATTAAGGAGTAAACCAAGATAAGCAAAAGGCAAAGAAGTACCCTAGCAGAAATAGGGATGTTTCAGGGAACAAAAGAGAATTTCTAAACAACAAATATTATCATACAAAAAGAGAATATATTGTACCAAAGATTCCATGCAGAAAAGAAACAACCAGAAAATAAAACAGAGACCTTGGAAATTCAAAATTTCCCAGAACAAATGGGGAAAAGCCCTAAAGGGGAAAATAGATAAATTTGAAAAGCTAAATGTCTAAAATAATGATGCGAGCCTATAAGCCTAGAGGTAAGAGGAAACTACTTAAAAAAAAAAAAAAGTGTATACCCATCCAATTCTTGAGAATGGGTCCAAAAAAATTAAAATGGAAAGATGTATACCTTGTTCAATGATTCGTGTATGAGGGCAGAATCAATACTTAGACAGACAAGGACTCAAAAAATATTTTGCTCATGCACCTTCTGTGTTGGTCACACATTTTTCAATGTTCTTTTCTTCTGGGCCAAGGTAAGATTGTACCTCCTTTGGAGCAATGGGAATCACTCCAGCAGAAGAGCTCAGAGCCAGCACCTGGTTAGGCACGCTCTCTGTTCCTCTACCACAGTGACTGTCATTTCAGATGGGGTGGCTGCTCCTCAGCCAGAGACAGAGTCCAGGATGAGGGTCCTCTGAGCAGAGGCCTGGTGACCCATTGAGATTTGGAAGTTGTTTGTTCCTATAGAGCACCCTACTCCATTTTTACTGACACTGTGTGGGACAAATTATTTGATGATGTACTATAATTAACAGAATCAAGAAATCAGTATCAGTAAAGCCTTGTTGTAAAGGAACTGAAAGCATCGCTAAAAACCAGTTAAAATCCTGATGTCTCAAATTTATAAATTATCTTAGAACAGTAATTCTCAAAGTGGGGTTTAGAGACCCCCTAGGATTGTGCAAGACCCTTTCAGGTGTCACCAAGGTAAAATTGTTCTTATAATAACATATTATTTTCCCTTTTTCTTTCTCATTCTTTCATGAACATACAATGAAATTTTTCAGAGGCTAAATGTCCTGTGAAGTCACAACAGATTGAACGCAGAAGCAGATAGGAGAGTCTAGCTGCCTTCTACTGATATTTAAAAGATGCATAAAAATGTAAAGCAATGCTAATCCTCTGGCTAATTTATTTCTATTTTGAAAAGTTCTATTATTTTTTGTAAAAATACACCACTTATATTCACGGGTAATAAATTCACTACTATTATTTCTAAATGAATAAATACATATTTTAAGTGTTCAAAGTTTTAATTTCTAATATGGTAAATAGCAACACATATAACCCAATAAACAAAAGTCAATTCTTTGGGGTTCTCGATAATTTTAAAAAACACAAAAATATCCTGAATCCAAATATTTGAGAAGCACTGTTCTAAAAAGACAGGATATATACTGCATATAATAAAATTATAGCAATTTCAATCTTAAGCTTTAGATTCTATTTTAAAGGTTTTTTTGTTGTTGTTTCATTTTGAGACGGAATCTCGCTCTGTCACCTAGGCTGGAGTGCAGTGGTGCGATACTTGGTAAAGTTTTTTTAAATTGAGTGAAGACAAGTAAAAAATCGAGTTAAATAACTTATTTCAAATAAAAATTCAAATGATACAGTTATAAATTTGATGCTCTCAGTTAGAGAAATATGCATTAAAGAATTAATTAGAAACCCAAGTGTA